AGTTGCATCCAGTGTGTAAAGGATTTGACAACCCCAAGGACTTGTGACTTGTGTATACTATTCCATAAATCAAGGAAATAACATCCACCTAGTGACAGATCCATTGCATTGGAGATAAATACTACTATTACTTATATATAAAAACTAATAGTTCATACAAATACATTAATTGTGTACCCGGTCAAAATAGTAATTCTCAAATTAAAGACAATTGAGCATCCATAATTTAAAAATCTTGGATCTGCCATTGATCCATCCCGCTGCTTTAGTTGCCATCCAATATTTTTTAGGAAAATCAAGAGTAATGGAAAATGCTATATCATATTCAGTGTAAGGCAAGATTCCATATCAAATGCCAAAATGGTTATTTGATGGTACCAGTGTTAGAATTATGCAATTGTGTAATAAACACGATAAGCCTTTATATTTATAGATGTGCTCTGTAGAATAGTATAAGCATATTGTACTGTTTACCTCGAAAATACGAGTAATAATTAAACTTGATTTATGGTTTTAAAGATACGTGATTTAGTTCAATACTAATTAATAACCAAGAAATCAGAAGTATAGATGAAAGAAATAAGTAAAACCAAACCAGTATGTAGGTCAGTCTCGACCTCGAGCTAAGGTGACCTCGAGGTGAATCAAGAACAGTAAAGCAAGAATAATGAAGCTAAAGGACAATTCTAATGAATAATGAGCGAGAAAGTAAGAGAGTATATTCTTTGCCAATGATTGATGATGGTTACAAATGATTGGGGTCCCCTTTATATAATGGGGGAACCCTAAATAAGGTACATTTCTATTTACAGTAAAGAATCTTATTGGAACAGCTGTCTAACCGCCTAGTACGGACTAGTACTAACTCGTACAAATCAATTCCGGAATATACGCCACAATTTTGGGGATGTGGCAAAAATCTTGCTCATTCTGTTACAAAGCTACAATGGCATTATCTCGAGGTTGGTCACGTTCGGCCTCGATATTCATCGGTCACTTTGATCTTCGATCTTCGAATTCTACTATCAGCCTCGAACCCAGTGTACTTCGGACCGATTCTTGAAGTAGTTCCTCGAGCCCACTAAATCGAGCATACTTGATTTTGATCGTATACAGATAGTCCCCGTGTTTCTTAGAATAAGATGATAAGAAATGATTTGATCCTCGATGATCCGGTGCATCGATCATAGCGTCAATCTCGTGACGTCAGCGACTGAAGCGATTGAAAGGTCGCTTCTGTGTAGTTCCCAAGGTCACTAATTGGAGGCGGCTGATGGTCGGCCGTTGGTTTCCCCAAACCGTAAAAGTGGCCTCTATAAATAAGCCAATTCCACAATTATTGCAATCTTTACTTCTCAAATCATTCTTAAAATCTCACTACCTTCTTTAACTTCTCTGAGTTCACCCTTTTCTCAATTTGTTCTTACTACAGCATCAACTCCTTCTTTTCTCTTGAATTTCTCAACCACAATGGCAAAAACAACTAAAACTGTTCCTCAGAAAGAAAACGCTTCATTATCGCGGCCGGCCAGAGGTAGAACGGTTGTGCCACCTCGTATCGAGGAGTGTATTCCCGGGCCATGTGAGCTAACTTCCGATTTTAAAATCGATAAACCTGCATCGACACCAGGCCGATGTGAGCCCATGTCTCGATACATCTGCTTAATAGCCGAAGATGAACTTGAGCAAGTGAAAAAGGATTGCAATTAGGAGAATAAGGACAATGTGATCCCTTACCCCGAAGAGGACATCACCACCCATAAGGTAGGGTACTTAAGCGTGTATACCTACCCTTTCACATTGGGTCCCGTAGATCCAGCTCTAGGTTCCATAGACCCTGTGATTCTTGATTTTTGCCAACAATACCAGGTGACGCTTGGCCAGATCTACCCTTCTTTCTGGCGCATCGTCAATCTGATCAGATATATCTCGGGCCTGGTTAAGGGGATGCCTTTTACCCTCGACTACCTGATCACGCTATACAGCCCTCGCCTTTATCGAGGTGGTCTGATAAAGCTTCAACGCTGATCCTTGAAGTCCCTTTTCTCCAGCATCGATGAGGACAAGGACATTGGATGGATAAGCCGGTTTGTCCGAGTCAGGACCTTCGATCTGATTGCTGCTGAGAGGATGCAATTCCCCGAGGAGTGAAACATGAAATGTAAGTACAAATTTATCGATGGTGATTAATATCCTTCTTTCCCTACTTTTTCTCGATCTAATACTTTTCTGATGATGCAGCTAGTGCTTGGTTTCCTGGTGCGGTCCCGGACCTCGCAGGCTGGGTCCGGCAACTGGCCTCCACTTTTTCATACGCGGAACGCAGCTGGCGTGATTTGACCAAGGGTCGATGGGAAGCTAAAAACCATGGTGAGTTCTCTTGTTTACATATTGATGTTTCTTAATGGAATACTCACTTTACCATTATGCATGCCTCATAGACGCTATTGCTATGCGGCCGCTCCCACCCGGTGAAGAAGAAATCCCAAAATCGACCAAAGAGAAGAAGAAGAAGAAGAAGAGGGGGTCGCCTGCCAGTTCCCCGAAGCCAAAGAAAAGAAAAGCTGGAAAGCCTAGGGCCGATCCTGCGGACCTATCTTCGGAAGCAGCCCAACACCTTCGGGATGAAGAGGAGGAGGGAGAAGATGACGACTGCCTGTTGGTAGCTCGGAAAAGAGGAAGCACTGACGCTTCGAAAGCCGATGAGCCGATGGTGGCTGATGCGGTTCAATCTCGAACCAATGAAATTTCGGAGGGGAGCTCGAGCAGAGTCCCC